CCTGTGTGCTGGGTTCTTTTCCTACTGCTTCCACGGCGTCCGAACTGGTTGCGGTGAACAGTGCGCCCGTCTGAGCAATGCATTCACTTCATGTTTATATGTTTGTAAATCCAAAAAAAAAAAACCAAAAAGTCGCAGTCACTGAGGATCACATGGAAAATACTAGCAAAAATAGCGAGCTCATGTGTCAGTTTGTTAAAAGCAGCGGATGCGAGGGCATGCTGGGCTGTATCTCCCTCATTTATTGTTCTTTTTTTTGGTGTAAACGGAATGTGTCATTTTGTAAGGAAAAGGAATTTTTCATTTGAGTCTTTTTCATGCCAAAACCGCTAAAAATTGCTTCCCAAAATACTCACGGAGAGACATAGGTGGGATGAGAAGAGAAAACAATCGTTTTTAGTTCTCATTCAAATGTGCGTACGCATAAAAGCCAACTCGCAGATCGACAGAGAGACAGAGAGGCACATACATATGCAAATACAGCACTCTTGAACATACATATGCAAACACGCTGCGTTGAAACAAACTGAAAACAACGACCCAAATCCGGAATGTGGTGACCGCTATCCCCTTCCGCAAATATCGAGCTAATCATAGTTAAAAGCCGTTCGGAGAGAGCTCTTGCCAATCACTTCAATCAATACTAGAAAGCTCAGTAAGTGGAAAAAACCAAAACTAGACTACTTCAAAAACAGCTATTAACAAAATCAAGAAAGTGATAATTTTCCTGATTAGATAGCCCATGCTCATTATTAATAATTCTCATACAAAGAGAGCAGTTTGGCCAGAGGACCAAAGCAGAACAAAAATTACATTCACGCTAAAGTAGAAACAAGAAAACAGGTAAGACAGATTACCATATTTTGATCAGCTGATGAAAAGCTCGCTGAAGACCAGTTTTCCTCATCCGAACGAGCAACTCGTGAAGTCGTGTTCCATGATTTAGGAACCTGAAACATCACAGTGGCATTAAAATTTTCATTTGAAAAAATAACAAAGTTCGAAATGATGTCCTACTGCCCATTAAAAAATGCAGGCAATTTCCCAGTTATAAAATATAATGAAACTTTTATAAGCAGTCACATATCGCTGCATTCATTTCGCATAACGACAACGTAATATTTGGCGCTTTTTGTTTGTTCCTTGCTAAAAAGTAATCCCAGCATGAATTAACTACACTTACGCTGCCCACAGTCAAGACTGTAGGCATCGACAGGGAACGAAATCGTCTTAGCAAAAGCCCAGAGCAAAAAGCAACGGAAATATGGGCCTACAGGAAAGATCGTTTTAGGATTGTGGGTTGGAAAATCGGCAACAACCATCCTCTAAATTCACAGCTTTTTAACAAGACTGGTCCTGACTTGGCAGAGATCCAACAACATCTTAATTTGTGTGTGAGATGTAAGCTGAATTTAAAATGTTTGACACACACACATCGTAAAACGTTCACTGTTTAGGACTTGACTGAATCCCGAAACTGCTTCTCGTCAAAACTCCCTTTGGCGCATCCGTATGTGTAACTTAGGAAGTGAACTTTCATTTTATTTCTTGAGTCTCATTCATAGTAGATTAAACTACAGAAATTTTAGCTTCGCAGCCCCTGGAAATCGAAATATGCGAGCATACAAGCAGCTAATTTCTTCATAACATACATTTTTTTTACATTGCAAAAATGCAAAAAAAAAAC